GTAAACATATATAAATGTTCAAGATGAGCTAACCAGAAAAATTGCAACTTCTGGATAAGCACAGACAGGGCATTTGGCTCCCCTAATGCGAGGAAGTGTGGGATCCGCATATGCATCCCTTAATATCACAGCCGGCGCTGAGCTACGTTGCACCACATTTCTATACACACAGTTACTCTCTGCCACCTCCTGTAATATATTTAATGGTTGATTAGAGACTGTTTGGGGTAGAACCGTGTAGCTACAGGTGCGGCAGGCATTAAGCAAGATCTTGCGCTGCTTATCTTCTTTTGGGTAGAGCAGGTTGTTACTGCATGCACACAGATATTTATTGAGATAAATTATAATTTATATGAAATTTTATTATCTCATTCAAATGATTTAATGAGAAAAGAGTACATACCATTCGGGACAAAATTTCATTGGAATCACCAAGTTGTCTGACGAGCAAGGCCTTCGAGCCATGGCTAAGAGCAACCCAAGATTTAAGAAACATAAATATGACAAATATTTATAACATTAGCTAAGCAATGAAATGAGAGAGAAATCAACACCCAATAATGGAATTACATAAATAATTTATTTGAACATTGAATGCTATAATTCCCAAATAAATTGCTTTCTCCTCTGGTCCCAATCTCATTTGGAAATTATCTCACCTGCTTAATTGCCTTGATTTAATTTTATTACTTAACTAGAAGAAGGCAACAACAAGTTAATCTGAATAATTTAATACATTACTACTATATATTTTTATATGATTAATTATGGGAAAACACTTTACAAGGCATAATACAATTTACTTTTATGGAAATATTTTATTTATTCATCACCAAATGGCTATGCAGCCTTTTTTTTTCATTGAACAAAATAAAAGCATAGAAGGTACTAAGAAAAGAAATAGGAGTTTGCTTTTTTGATATATCGAATGTCACTCAAATTATGGTTGTCATAAAAGCTTGTTGTTTGCGAAGAGCTTGTGTTTGACACGTCAAGTAGCTCATGTTCGGCTCGTGCCTTTTTTTTCAATGAACAAAATAAAAGCATGGAAGGTACCAAGAAAAGAAATAGGAGTTTGCTTTGTTGATATATCGAATGTCACTCAAATTAGGGTTGTCATAAAAGCTTGTTGTTTGCGAAGAGCTCGTGTTTGACACGTCAAGTAGCTCATGTTCGGCTCGTTTGTTAAGTAAAAGAGCCGAATATAGACAATTTGTTTAAGATAGAATCATAAACAAGCTGAACACGAACAACCCCTTGGTCGCTCGTGTTCAACTCGTTTTAGCTCGAAATAAATAAATTATATATATTATTTACATAATAATATTTTGTAAATATTTATATCTAAGTTTTAAAATCATAACAGCTCGTGTGTTTATGTGGTTCTATGTCTTCTATTGCACAGAGTTAGCGCAAGTTCAAATCTAACGCCCTACATCTATTTTTTCCAATTAATTTTAATGAGCAAATTTCAGGTTGAACACAAACAAGTTTATTTAAGTCGAGTCAAACATGAATACGTTGATCACGAGCCAATTTCAAACACAAGTCAATTTAAAACACGAGCATTTTCAAGTCGATTTAGAACATGAATACGCCGCTTGGAAGGGTGGGTGGCTTGCCTGGACCGGCGAGGAGCTTTGGGCTTAGCTGATTGCAGCCTGGGCCTCTCCTACTTATGAGAGGGAGAGGGAGACAAAATCTGGCAATCAAGGCGACAAAGGGGCCAGTAGAGCTGTGCTCCATACCGGAGGACCAGTCCCCTATACGGAGCACTACAAGTGGCAGTTAAGGTAAGATTCTTTTAAATATTAAAAAAATCAATACTTTATGTAAATATGTGACACTAACCAATTGTATGTGCTACACCTGCTAAGAAGTTGAGCCGTGAACCCTCTGTTGTGGTGCTCCATATCCGAACTCAACGACACCCAGGGACACAACAATGGGTCTCAAAACATTTCTGGTTGGTTGTTACAAGTAAAAAATGAAATTTAAAGCTTTATTTTAATTATTACTATTCAAAGTTTCAATTTAAGCGTTTCTTTTAATTTTGTAGGAGAAGTTTGAGTAGCTCTGAGAGAGGCACCTGTTCACTCAGCCCGAGAGTTCCGCCAGCAACAGTAATAGTCGCTCTACCACTGCAGAGTCCAATTTTGAGCTTTGGACTCAAGCAGTGGGGAAACAGAAGGAGATGGTTTATGGTCTTGGTGCGAAGGGCATAGCCTTCAAGACCGACATCTCCCGTGCTCCCGTACTTAATTTCCCGAGCTCCTCACAGCCATACTAAAATGTTATAGCCAAGCAGGTCGCTGTGATGAATGAAGAGATCTATCAGTTGCATATATAGACGCTAGTATGCCAATATGGGGTCAGGGACTCTATAGTGTGCATGATAGAGGCATTAGCTGATTGTCGGGGCAAATGACCAATGGCATTCGTGGAGGAGGAGGAGGATGAAGAGAGGGAGGGAGGGAGATGACGATTATGTTTTACTTTTATTTATTTTTAACATTACTTTGAACATTAACTTTGAATTTTTTAGTTTATTTTGTTGTTTTTTGGACACTTTGCTACATTTTATGACTTTTCACTATTGATATTACTTGATCTATAATCAGTGTTAATGTTGATTATCTGTGATCTATAAAATATTTTTGTGTTGTGGATTCAATATATCGTGGAGGTTGTGGAAATGTAACAGTTTTTTATATTTTTTTGTGCGTTATAGGTTTATGTCTGATTTGTGTCTAATAATCCGACGATAACCAATTTTATCCATCTTTCTTCGATATTATTTGACGCAAATCCGAGGCTAATCCAAGTTAATTTTAAAGTTTGATTTTTTTCAACCCAAATTTAGACACATGCATAGCCTTAACGATAACTGACGCAAAGCCGATGCAAAATATTTGCGACAGATTATTTCAATACTAAAAAGAAAAAAATTATTTTACCAACCCCTGTTTTAATCACGAAAAAAAATCAAACGGAAATCTGACACAAATCCGACGATAAGCTATATATACCATTAGATTTGCTTCTGATTTGCTTCTTATATGTCTGACACAAATATAAAAAATTCTTGTAGTGTGTGGATTGTGCACCTTAGCAGAGACTAGAGGAGGCTGGGATTGAGCTGGAGATTTAGTCCAAGTGGATATATATTGTTCAAGAGAAGATTAAAGAACTGACGGAGCGGTGGCCACCATAAAGTCACCCAATCAAAGAGCTTTTCGACACTCAAGTCTTACATTTGAAGATAGGTGTGCTAAGTCGACCATTGACCAATTCATCAACGTTGGAACGGTCGACTCAAAGTTTTGTTATTTAGATGAATTCAAAAAAATTTTCTTCGTTCCCTCAATAGCTGTTCAAAGAGAAGAGTCTGAGGGCAACAATGTGGCGGACGGAGGATCGTTCAAGACTCGACCAGAAGACTCCTAAACTTAGAAATTTTTTTATTTATATGTATTTTAATCATTGCATAAGAAAATAAATTATCTGAAAAGATATGTAACCAACTGATTATTAATTGAAGTTCAACCTGCCGTTAACTTTTACCAAAAAGATATGGCCTCTATGGCCAATCAACGCTCTTGCAGCTACTAAATATGGTTATGTGACTAATTACTACTGTAGCCTTCTACTATGCCTACGTGGCTAACTGCTTTCATTGTAGCCTTCCACTATGGCCTACATGATTAATTGCTATCATTGCAACCTTCTGCTTTAGCTTATGTGATCAACTAGTTTCATTGCAACATTTCACTATGACCTATATGGTCAATTGTTATCATTTCGACCTCCCACTACGACCTCCATTACCAACTACTATCATTGCAACATTCTACTACGACCTATGTGGTAAATTGTTTCATCGAAACCTTCTAATATGACTCATGTAATCAATTATTGTCATTGCAACCTTGCACTACGATTCATGTGATCAAATTTCGTCATTGCAGCATTCCAACATGACATATGTGGTCAACTGTATTCATTGCTTCCTTCCACTAAGGTGGTCAGCTGCTAACTATGACTTATGTGATCAACTATGTAGATAACTATGGCTACATCTTCCAACTATAGCTTCTATATCCACTGATTATGGTTGTAGCCCAATTACTATTTTTAAACCTGTATGAATATTGTATGCTTGTGATTATCAGTATTTTAATTCCATATTCTAGAATTTAGGAGGAAAATGGGCCTATCTACTTAAAATCTTATACTAGATTACTTGGACTATGCTAGGTCCCGTGATTTTCTCTCATTTAGAGGTTTTCCGTCTAAAAAAAATTTTGAACTCCTTTTGCTAGTTTTTTTTATCTGTGTGTGTATTGGATCTTTGTACAATATCAAGACGTTAAATTATCACCCAATCATCGTGAATCTTTAGACACATAATAAATAATATTGGGATGTTATATCAAAAGAGAGTTGTTTGCAAGCTAATAATTTATGTTTAATCACAACTGTGACTATCCATGACAAAATGTAGAGTGCGAATAAAATTTAAATACCCTCATTTCTCACTCATCATAATAAATAAATCTTCTCCAAATTTCTTAGGTATAGATAAGCCAATTTTTTTAAATTCAAAATATAAGAATTAATTCCCAAAAAATAAACTTTTTTTTGTCATTGCACGTATCTTTTTTTTTTATTATTTTTTTCTATGGTTCTTAGTTTTCTTAAATAAAAATACAGTATATAAGAATAAAAATTTAAAAAAATAATAATAAAAATTCATTTATACCCATTATAATAGGGAGATGGAGAAAAAAGCTCTTAACCTTTCTACCCAATATAATAGGGAGAAAAAACCTCTTAACCACTCTGCTTTAACAATTCTTTCACTATTTATGGACATTCCAAACACTTGTCAGAAACTTGCAGCTTGCATCGAGTGTTAGCCGCACATAATCTCTCTCTCTCTCTCTCTCTCTCTCTCTCTCTCTCTCTCTCTCTCTCTCTCTCTCTCTCTCTCTCTCTCTCTCTCTCTCTCTCTCTCTCTCTCTCTCTCTCTCTCTCTCTCTCTCATATTCTCTCACATAATCTCTCTCAGGGAAGAAACTAACAGGCATCGAGGGCTGAAATTGGAGGCAGCAGAAGCCATGAATCCCATGAAATTTTGTCCCGAATGGTATAGGAAGTGTTACGTTTTTGTTACTGCATTCTTGTAGATAACTTTTTTCATGATAAATCAATTATAATTATACTTTGTTTGACTCCAATATATTTCTGTGCACGCAGCAACAATCTACTCTACCCAAAAGAAGATGGAAAACGCAAGGTCTTGCTTAGCGCCTGCCGCATCTGCGACTACACGGTTCTATAACGCCACCTTTTGATTTTCGCTCTATATTTCTTAATTACTGAAGGAGGAATGTTGATCTCTTTTGTTTTCTGTAAGAATATCAAGATTTACATGCATACCAATTCCCTTTTATGTATTTACATATCCAGCATTAAAACGACAATATAATGAAAAGTTGTTCTGCCACTTTTATAAATTTTGATGGAAAGTTTGTGTTGATTAAATTAGCTGACAAATTGCAGGAGCCCGCAGAGAATTATTGTGTGTACAGAAACGAGATAGATCGTATCTCAGCACCACCTGTTGTATTGAGGGATGCGCATGCAGATCCCACACTTCCTCGCGTTAAGGGAGCCAAATGCCCTGCGTGCAGTTATCCAAAAGTTGCATTCTTTTTGGTTAGCTCATCTTCATTATGTTTATTAATTTGAGAAATATTTGCATAGTTACCACTTAATTTGAAATGTATTTATATATGCAAATGCCCTCTGAAAGCTACACATTGTATTGGCTGACTATAGTGAAAAGTTTGCAAGGGTCGTTGTACTGACTTCTTGGTGTAGTGTTAATAAATAAGGGTTTTAACTTTATGGATGCATGCGAGCATAGAAGTTAATCCATAAGATTAATATTAAGACAAGAGCTTAGAATATGGATATTCTCATAGATAAATTAATGAAATTAGTAGATACTATGATTCAAATGAAGATAAATATCTTATGCGTTCAAGTAAATAAATGAGTAAGAGAAAATGATAAATAGATTAATAGCTTAGGTTTTAAACTTTAGTTTTAAGGTAGAAGTCGTACTAGAAATGATTTATGTGTAATTATAAATAAGAGTTTGAAATATAATCTTATAAAAATTAAAAGAATTAGAGAGAGAATTATAGCTCTAAAAATTATTATTGTTACCAGGATTCTCAAGATTATAAATGCTTATTCTCCCCAAGCAGGTTTGAATATATGTTCAAATGAAAATTTTTAGAATGACTTAGAAAAATTAATACAAATTATATCTCATGAAAAAATAATTTTTTTGTATTGGAGAAGAGCTAGATGAGCATGCCGGTAGAAGATTTTAAAAGCCTTCATGATGTTTTTGATTTTAGAGTAACTATTGAAGAAGACAGTCATATTAGATTTTGTTTTAGCATATGATTTTTTTATTACCAATATTTTATTTTAAGAAAAAATGAGCATATTATCTCTCATAAGAATATATGTAATAAAAAATAGATTGATTATTTTCTTTTGAGAAAAATAGATCATCATGATTATAAAGATTGTATGTTAATTCCAAGTAAAAATTTAAGTACCTGATATTAATTATTAATTTTTAAGTTTAAGATGAAAGGTTAGAAAATAAAAAATATAATAAAATATTATTATAGAAGAAAAGTACCTTAAAAGACACAAATAAAATTATTTTATAAACAAACTTCAAAGTCTTAAAATTTGAGGCTTTCATGAAGAAACTAATACTATTTGAGATAAAGTAACGAGTGATTTTAAGCAAGTGCAAATAATATGATTGAGAAATTAACAGAAAAAACTCTTATGAATAATAATAGTTGGTGGTGAAATAATAATGTACAATAAAAAATAGAGTTAGATGTTAAAATTTGGAGAATTAGAAAAAAATATAAGGTCAACTATATAGAGTAAGAGGAAAATTTATGAAGCTAAAAGTTTTAATTTTAATGATCTTCATAGTATATTAAATACACATGTATAAACTAGTCAAACAAAGAGATAAGAAAACTAAAGATTTAGTTCAAGTTAAATATATTAAGAATAAAATGAAAATGTTCTTTTTATAAATGAGAATATTCAATATTGATGTGTGAGATATTTTGATAAATTTTTCAATAAAAATTATGAAAATACAATCGAATTTAGTAATCTTAATATCTTAAATAATAATATTTCTTTCACTATTACATTAGTGAAATAGAAGTTAAGGAGGCTTTCAAAAAATAAAATGTAAAAAAAATTGTAGGATTTGATAGTATTTCATTGGAAGAATGAATTCTTTAGGAGATCTATAAATTTCTTAGCTTACTAAAGTATTTAATATCCCTTAAAAACAAAAAAAAAGATACCATATGAGTGAAAAACTAGTCTTTTTGGTCATATTTTTACAAATAAGGGAATGCACAAGCTAATAAGTCATACATTAAAGTTATGGGCAAGAATAAATGAACATATGTTACGACATAATACAAAAATTTCTCAAAATCGGTTTGGATTGATGTCAGCCAAGCCTACTATGGAAGCTATACATTTATTGAGAGATTTGATGGAGAATTATAGAGAGATTAAGAAGGATCAACATATGACTTTTGTTGATTTAGAAAAATGTTATGATAAGGTTCTAAGAGAAGTACTTTGGAGAGTTCTAGAAATTTTTTTTTTGATATTACTTATATTAAAGCCACTAAATATATGTATGCTAGAGCTGTTACTTTTGTTCGAACACACGGATGATTGAAGGATGATTGACCGAGTATTTTTCTATTTCATTTGGATTACATTAGGGATCAACTTTAAGCACATATATTTTTTATTTGTTTATGAATGTCCTTAATGGACACTTACAGGTGGATGTACCTTAGTGTATGTCTTTCATTGATTATATCCTTCTTGTGGATAAAACTAGAGAGAGTTTAGGAATAACCTGATTTAGAAATGTCAAGGAATAACATGATTTAGATATTTTGGATTTATTATTCAAAGTGATGGTGATATAAATGGGGATGCCATTAGTAGATTTACGTAGGGTTGTTGGGGTGGAGGAATGCATTTGGCTATTGTGTGTTAGGAATGTGCCACAGAGACAAAAGAAAATTTTATAAGATCATGGTGAGGCCTGCAATGCATCATGGTGCAAAATGTTGGCATCCATAAGAGAGAGAAAATTAAATTAAATACTGCAAAGATGAGAATGCTCCGTGGAAGTGGTTTGACACTTGTAGATAAAATGTCAAGTGTGTATATCCGTGAAAGGGTTGTACTAGCTCGAGTGGCAACACGATACACTATGACTGTAAGAAAATAATATTTAAATCGAGCCAAACACGAACGCACAAAACATGCTCAAAATATTTTTATATTGTATTTTTAATAAAATAAATTTTGACGTCGCATAATATTGTTTAAGTTTCGCCGTATTTGTACCTTATAGTTTATCTATAACTGTTAATGGAAAAATATACCGAATTTAAGATTTTGGATTGATTTTTGTTTCCAATGTGGATGTTAAGATATTTTATATAGTTTATTTTTGTAACTGTAACTGACCATGTTGATCAAGCTAGCACATTTATTATTAAATTAAATGTAATGCAGGCTAACCCAATGGAAAGCATGGCTCGAACTTTTGCCTGCTGCAACCCCACCTGCGGCCATAACTGGACAGGCGAAGCTCAACAAAGTGGTTCAAGATAGCTTAGCTTGCATTTCAATAAATAATCCCGTCAATTTATATGAGAGTTTGGAAATATCGAACATAATTGAGAAGAACTTCATGTTTTCTTTCTTTTTTTTTTTTCATTTTAATTTTTTATCGTGAGAACTAAAACTAATGTATGTGTTATTTTAATCTGAAGAAACTACTGCCAACTACTTGTTTTAAGAGTATACATAATTTTCCTCTATTGGGGGCCTTTTGTTACATACCGTGCATTTCTTATATATGTATGTATGCATACATATATATAACACCTAAAATTTAATATATTCATACATAAGACTCAAATCTTTCACATCACATAAAAATTATCACTATCATTAACTTTTTAATTTCTGTTAAATTTTATTATCTATGTACAATAATGCAGTAGAAAAGATAAGATACTAGCCATTCGGGACAAAATTTCATTGGATTCATGCTTCCACTTGCCACAAACTTCAGGCCCGAGTGACTGTTAATTTCCATACAATGATAGAAAAATAGTAAATCGAAGGTAATTAACAATCTCCGCGGGATCAAGTTATAGCCGGAGCATCCCTCAAAACTTTAGAGAAGATTATCACCTCGGACGAGCTACCACCAGAGCACCTTTCGCCATCTAATACACCACTTAGAAGGGAGAACGCAGAAGAGGGAGCTAAACCTGAGCTCAGAGATTATCCAACCCCCTCGAAAGACAATAAATATACAATAGTTGTTATTAGTTTGAACAGGGAGAAATTGGAATTGGAAAAAAATATATAGAAAAAGAAATGGGGATAGAAAAGGCAAGCAACAGAACAAGAAAGTAATCGGAATTGGAAACCTGAACTCACAGTTGATCCAAAGCACTCAAACAACAAATATATAATAGTTATTAGAATTGGAAAGAAGTAGAAAAAGGAAAGGAGGGTAGGGAAGATAAGTAATAGAATAGGAAAGAGTTGGAATTGGAAAGAAATAGCAATTGGAAAGGGGATAGAAAAGGAAAACATTAAAATAGGAAGGAATTGGATTTGGAAATAAATAAATAAATCTATATATATATATATGTGTGTGTGTGTGTGTGTGTGTGTGTATATATTTATTTATATATATTTATTAAAAGGGAGAACTATCCATTCCCCTCGAAAGACATTAAATATACAATAGTTGTTATTAGTTTGAACAGGAAGGAATTGGGATTGGAAATAAATATATATTTTCTTTTTTTTTTTACTATTTACGGAAATATTGTTCTTTGTCTTCCAATAATTAATTTATTTTTTCTTTTCTTTAAATTATGTTAGCAGATTATAATCCAGAATAATTTCAAAAAATTTCACATTAATTTTATATGATGTTTCATGTTTCTTTATTAATGGAACAGATGTCATAAATTCAATATATTATAAATATTTTCGAACATAAATGTCGTAATAATATCTCCACTTAATCCTTATTTATTTACATATCTACCTTCTAAATGTCAATTTTTACATATATATGTATAAGTCACCTTACCTATGCTAGAAAAGGTATATTTAAATAATGGAATTATATATGTGTCGTGAAAGATTTGGGTGTAAAATAAATGTAAAAAATGAATGTTTAGGTGTTAGTGTTTAGGTGTTAGTAAAACAATGTTTAGGTGTTAGTAAAACATTTCGGATGCTTATATGATTTTAATGAATGTTTTTGTAATATCAATTATTTTGGTTCGTAGCCCAGGGCTATCACCATGGTCGTTGTATTGATCCACCCAAGGCAATTGCCTGCTTCTAAAGAAGCTAATCAGCCCATACTCCCCTCTACATGGCTGACTACTAATCCAAGTTTGATTCTCTACACAGGGCATGCACTTGCCTTACTTACATGTGCAATGCCTTTTGTAGCTTTTTTGTAGTGCTTGAAACTCTGGGCCTCCATTTATAATATGAGATTTAAATTGGGAGCCATCCTTAGTATTATGTTCTTGTCTTCAGTACTCATGATCCTTAAAGTGAAATTTTTTTCTCTTTTCCAACTTTTTTTCTATGTTTTTCATCTCCTTTCAAGTCATAAAACCACATTAAGGATTGAATGCCATGAGGGATTGTCTAAGTCTAATGAGGTCCATCTTACTGAGCCTTAAATTATGGGCATTTGAAGTGGCTAAGTGGTTAACATTTGGTTACAAGTTTGTTATGGTCAAATTTTTGACTTGGGCTCATAGGCAGAGAAAATTGCAAGGAATTTGGTAGTACTCGACGGAGGTTGGTGGTCGACGACCATCAGCGGTTGTCAAGGACGGTCGACGGTGGTCAACGACAGTCGGTTGTGGTCTACGACGATCAACAACGGGACGGTGGTCGAAGGCTATCGATGGAGTTCAACGATGGTCGGTTGTGATCGACGAAGGTCGGCCATGGTCTACGGCGATTGAACGCGGCTGACGGCGATCGATGAAGGTCGGCGATGGTCTACGGCGATAGAACGCGGCTGGCGGCAATCGACGATGGTAGAGATGATGTTGGACTTCAACTCACTCTCAAAACTTCAAGCTCTCTCTCTCAAGGCTCAAGTCTTTTTTGTTATGAGAGGGGATGGGCTCTATTTACAGTGTTATGGTGCAATGAATGCAGAAAAATGAACCACTTTGATCAGACGGTTTGGAGAGCTTCCTCCGATCAAACGACATATGATGGACATTTGGGTGCATAAATGATGTCGGAATTCAGTGATTTTGAGCTCGTTGGATTCGTCTTGTCGAGACGCTTGATTCGACTATGAGCTCTCCCTAATCGACATTTGTTTAACTTCCAAATGTGTCTGAAAATCTTCTAAGAGTGGTTTAATGACTTGATCTAGATTTGGTTTGACTCGGATTAGATAAGTTTTAATCTCATTAGGTTCGTCTCATTGAGCCGATTGATTTGATTATAAGTTTGCTAAAATCGGAGCTCTGGATGATTCTTAATTGAACTTTGAATGTTTATTGCTCAAGAGATTGCTTTGAGATTTGAGTCATGCCTCAAGATTGTGCCGGATGAACAGAATTTGTTGTTGTCGTATCAGTTGTCCTCCAATTTTTAGGAGAGAACATTTTTATCTTCCAAAAATATCAAGATCTGGAGCATTTTTTGTTTATCTTGTATATGTATGAACCATCAATTCATTTAAACCAAATATAATAAGGTTATTGATGCGTGCTAGAAAATTCACGGCGGTAGAGTAACAAATTATCGTCTTAGCGTTGTAAGAAAGTTCAGCACACACACAGATGAAATAGAAAAAACAGTGATAACTCCAAAAGTTTTTACGTGGAAAACCCGTTAGGGAAAAACCACTAGGTTTGATCCAGTTGCAAAATCCACTATTGATTGATGATTTCAGAAATTCCTTGTCTAACAGATGGGAAATGATAACTATATTTTTCAGATTACAATGT